AGTACACTTGTTGAGAGTTTAAAATGAAATCAGTTAAATATTATCAAATAATCTGTAATCAAGTACATCGGTCCAGAGCTTCAAACTAAAAGTCGAACCACTGGAAACTTTACCTGTATCCCCGTGGCCCGTGGGCCAATCCTCCACTGCATATATTAACTGCATATAAGTATTTACCAAAATAAATTGAATCGAAATCTTAATATAATCTAAAATAATACCTAAATAATATATGACATTTACCAGTTATAAGTTATAACTGATTCAATGTTTAATGTTTTCTAGCCCAATATAGGTACTTCACCGTATACGAGTATACAGCGTTAATCTATAATTATTAAATTATAATACACGTATTTTATATTTTTAGTCATAATCAATAGTATAGGTTTAAATGTATACGTAACATTATACTAGGCGTCTAATGTTTAGGTATGACTTATTAGTTATTACCTACTTATTCGTCGATTTAGACTATATATATTGATATTTTGTAATTCAATATTACCTCTAAACCCACATTATCTATACGTTTGATGACGACGACCAAACAGTTCATGACGAGTTTTACTTTTTAGTTTTCATACGAAATTCAGTATTTCAGACTTCATTTAACGTCTATTTGCACACTGTATTATACTATTACCTATGAGTAATAGTCAATCATATTAAGCATACTTTTCAAATGCATTCAGAAATAAAAGTACTTACGTATTTACTATTCCAATACTTAGTTAAGTTAGTATTTGAAACACTTATTGAAATACTCAACAAGATTGGTATTAAATATTAATTACTATATTTTATGAATACTTACATGAACTAACTAACTACTATCTAGCTAAAAAATCTGTAAGAAACAATGGTATAGTAGTGTTAACATTTAGATACTAAGCACATCATAGTATATTACACGTTTAGATGGCTTGATAACAGAATTAGTTGATTAAATAACTGTATTTTGTTTACAAATGTTTAATGTTTAGATCACAATAAAACAAAATATGATTTCATAATAGTATGTATACCATTTGTATGTTTATTTTGATTAATAACTAATTTTCCGCTCAACTTTCTTAATTTTTTAGAAGAACTTGGTATTTTTTTTTTTTTTGGTTGCAATCGGGCAGATCAGGTATAAGAATGCATGCATAAAATTGAATTTTAGCACATTGTCTAACAAGGTGGCTGTCGGCAGACTTACATTTATAGCCGCTCATCGGCATGTACACAATCAAAATAATTAACCATACAAATTATAATTATAACTAAAGAATCATTTTTTTAATAATAATATGTGGATAGAATTATTTGTAAATATTATTATTATTTTATTTTTGACAGAATTATTTGTAAATATTATTATTTTTTTTTTTTTGAAAGGAATTTTCAAAATTAGATCTCTAAGGGGGTAAAAGAGGGTATATTATATAGGTATATAATACACGTACAACGCTGTGACGAGACAGCTAGTATATTATAAAACATTCAATTAAAAAAATAATTCGATTTATCCTCATAATAATATCGTAAATGTTTTCGTCTTTGAATACAAATAACGGTGTGGTACACGGGCTAAAGAGAGATATATGATATTAGTACAAGAATAAATATACACCGATTGATTCGAAAATTAGTCGAAATGAGAATTATCTATTTCACGAGACCAATAACAAACACTTATTGTCGACAACGATCTATTGTTTGGACGTTTTTGCCGATCACGGCACCTCACAGTCGGAGAACAATAAGCGACGCACCCGTTCGATTATGTCGTCGTGCTTTTATCAACGTATAATAATGGTACATCGGGAAGCCGGCGGCGGTGGAGATCGGAAACTCGCCGAAGCTCTGGTGTTTCAAAAAACAGCCGATAGATGGCGTTCGAGAGCAAAATCGTTAGTCTACGCGGTTATGACGCGGACGGCCCAGCATTTCGTGCTCGCCGCGATCGCGAGTTTTCGCGGTCGACCGTCGAACCGGCGTCGAAAGTTTGCACCGGACCCGAGCGGACCGCACTGCGACATGGTAACCGGGACACGGGTGTTGTGTGAACACTGAACACCGTCCAGCCGACTGCACGGCGCCGTCAGATCTTCGATTGCATATAGGTGACCGAACGCCGACCCAACGATAACTCCGGTAGTCCGGTTCCCTTTCAAATCGAAAAAATCTTTCGCCTTTTACTAAAGATTTCCGTGGAGGGGAGCAATTAAAGGAGTCTAGAAATATAATTTTTTCAACTGCCTGACCTCTTCTGGTCGGGCTTCTAATGCACCACGACAACGATATTTTCAAACGAATTTAGTATTGACTAATCCATAGTTACCTGTGGTCGATCCACTCTTTTTTTTTTTTTTTTAACAAAATTTTATTTATTACGCTATCTGTTACAATATTGAACAATAAGCTTAATTGATAATAACATAAACAAAAAAATAGACAGAAGAGACTGAATGAAGAGACTCTTAGACGACGATTACGCATTGCCGGTACTCTAATTTACGATGACGACAGAACAGTAAATAAAATATTATATACTGTATATTACCTTAATTAAAAATCCCTCATAATAATCAATTGTTAAAGAACGTTATAAGAAAAACTAGAATTTGAAACTAGTTGAGAATTTGACGATAAAATAATATATTAAAGTAATAATCGTTGGTACCTTCTATACTTTAGAGTGATAACAACTCGTCCATATTCATTTGTTTTATTAGAATTATTGACGATTCGAAATTTTTTGTTCCTCATAAATTTTCTTACCTTTAATAAGAAAAAAATTAACTCATATTTAATGAGTGTTTAACATAGTTTCAATTTTTTTGACCATAGTATATATCAATTTAATGTATTTCGTAAAATTATAAACTGTTATCTCAATCTAGAAGTATACCTAAGTACCTAACATACTCGAATGCCTTTATTAATTACCTATGATGCGATTTCCAATGAACAGCTTTTAATTTAAATTTATATTATAAATATATTATAATTTACATATTAAGTTTGTACAGATTGTTTTTTAACATAAATGGTTTTTGGACTGGGTACAGATACTTTGTTTTTGTAACCGATTTGGAAAATTTTTTTTTTTTGTTGGAGGTACACGAACTTATTATTTGAATATCATATTACACTTTCAAATCATAGATATAAAAAAAAATTATGAAGTCCCAATGCAAAATAATTTTTAAATGTTTGTGTTTATATATTTTAAACAGTAACCTGCTACTAGGGAGATTCTATTATTTAATGTAGATAGGTATATAATTTATAAATTACAAAATATATTACTGGACGAACACGTGACTCGTATCTTGGTAAATTGTAAAAAAGTATAAAAGTATAATTAATTAGATTGTAGTTGGTAATAGATAAAAAGGTGGAACCTTATAAGTAATAGATGGTTTTGATGTGTACAACTACTGTATCATTTTTAAAAAATAAACAAAAATGTCATAGGTATACAAATTACACGCGGTATACATATGTAGGACACATACAAAATCAAATGGAATACATTAAAAAATTAAAATTAAGAAAAAGATAAATATTTTTGAGGTAATGTTAATATTAAGATAGGAATAATTATTAGTTTAGACTTAAGACTTTAAAGGACGCAATAACATCAATTTTGTTGTGTAAAAATATCCTTATGACTTACATACGGAGAAGAGTGATAACTTCGTTCCATAGCTGTCCACAGCAAAATCGTTTATAACAATAAATTATTAAAGTATAAGTATATAGCACCTACTATAAAGTAAATATACTATAAGCAATATCAATATACTAGAGAAAACCTTATATCCGTTTTTCAAGATAATGCATAAAAGTTACAGTTATTTTAAAAAAGTAAAATAAATGGAGTTTTGTACATTTAATTAAACAAGAAATAATTTAAGTTTAAAAACGGATATAAGATTACCTTCAAAATATTATTATTATTTTTTTTATTATAGGTAATTACCAATTTTACTCTAAAACCACTCTGAGTAGAGTAATAAATTGCAATTATCTGAACGTACCTGTTTTACGACTTTTTAAGTCGTATTTTTGAATTTATTTAGCCGTCCTGCATAGCTTTTAGCCGAAAAACAATCAATTAGTTTTACATGTAGTCGGCGGCGGGACTTCAAAATTGTCATCTACTATCTTGTATACATTTATGATGGCATTTTTAATTAAAATATTTAGACTGGTTAAAAACTAGGGTAGGTGATATTTTGCGCATAATATGCCAATAAATCGTATACCTACTATGTATTTGAAATATTTTTGAATAAAATTGCTAAAGAACAATTAAACGTGGGATCTTGTATTTACTCAAGTCAGCACACAAGTGTTCAATGTTGGTTAGATATACACTCCAATATTCAATTAAACCGTAGCCACTTTGAAGGCTATCAAAAAATGTAAATGGTATAAAAACTGATTGTAGTTTTGATAAACGAAATACAAATATACTAAGTATTTACTTAATGGGTATTCTACATATAAAAAGGCAGCAAAGTAACTATCTTACTTAATAAGTCTTAAACATAGGTTAAAAGTAATATAAATAAGCCATGTGAAAATTGTAAAGCATTGATTATACTAGACTAAAATATGGAATTTTAGGTTAACCTTACTAAATAATCGAATACCACATAGGTGGTTAGAAGAATACTGCATACATAAAAGAATAAATAAATATAATACATAAGTGCATATCAGAATATGTATACATCATATGCAAGTACATAATACATCTAATTTTGCAAAACTTAAATTTATTTTTTAAATTTCAAAACTACTCATGAGTAAGATTAAAAAGTTTTTAAAAGCATTCACGTCTCCCTGTCTTAGAACAAAAACTAAGACATTATTATACACCAATTTTAAATCCCATATTCCCATGGTTATTACAAAATCACCTTCAGAATTTTTTAGTATAATGTTCAATTTAAATCGGTTATAACATGAGTGTAAATTGAAAAAAAATACACAAGTAATTCTTTGGTTTAAATTCTTATGTTTATTCAAATATTTGCACATGAAACCTAAAAATAAATTTTAAAAATTATTTTATAAGAATATTGAGAATAAATAAATTACAACATGTAACGAACACAGAGATTGTTCGGTTCAAAATGGCAAACAAATTAACAAATAGTAAAAGTTGACCATTATTGTTTTAATTTATCAATCATCTCACGATTTGTTCAAATATACGAAAATGTAGTTTTTGAGTTTCATATTATGCAATTCCTTACACAATTATAATTAACACTATTAGGCATAGTAAATATATTTTAATAGTTAATCAAAATCTGTTTTTGGGCTTGATGTCAGCAATTTTCCTGATTATATCAAAGACTGGTATAGTTTGCAAAATTTCTTTTAACATTTTACTCGATACAAGTTTTAAAATAACCAAACTACTTAGAACCTTGTAAAATATTTTGAACTTCAATTCAATTCTGGCTTATCATAATTTATTTAATTCAAACCCAGTAGTTTTTAAAAGCTGATTTCAATACAATTTATTATTTGTTGATTTAATACCATAAAATACAATAAATGAGTTTAATTTAAAATTTATATGCTCTCATTTATTAAAAACACAATTTTAACATTTGAAAGAAAAATAAGATAATTTTTAGTTTAAAATTCGGATTTAAATAGTTAAGTCATCATAAGTCAACTATGAAATCATGTTTTTATAACATAGGCATTAATGTTAAAAAATGGTAGTTTGGAAACAAATAATTCAATAAAAACATGTTCTGTGAAACCTCTAATCTTTAAAACAATAATAACCATTTGTTAATTAATATTTGTTCATAATAATAAAATAAATTAAGAAAATGTAACATTTACATATTATGATACGTTTTGTCAATATTTATTTTATCAGTTCAAAATGTACAAAACCGCCCACTTAAATAATAGAATGGAATGTATAAATTTATATTATAATTTAAAGCCATTAATGGTTTACAGGCATGGTAAACTGATCACCCAAGAATATCATTTATATTATAATTTATATTTTACAGAAATCTGATGAACAATGAATATGGCAACAAAATTGATTTTCAAAAATGTTCACAAATAAAAACCAAACATTTATTTCTAGGCTGAAAAGAAAGATTGACTATTGATTAGTTCCAAATAACATATATACTATTCAGTATAATTTAAAATGTACTTAAGCAATACATACATTTGTGTAAATTAACGTGATTTGATTATATCATAAATTATTTGAAACGGGAGCGCAAGAGTTATTTGTATGTATTAAACTTTTATAGACACAATCCTAAAACTTCAAATACATTGTTTGTGTTTATTCAGAAATATTGAGACTTGGTTTGCCATCCAAGACATACTAGGAGCGAGGAAATTATTATTATGTTTTTATGTTTACTAACGATATAATCACTAAAGCATTTAATAAAACAATGGTAAGTATTGACTTTATATAAAAAAAAAAAACAGGATATATCTTGATTAAAAAAGAAATCATTTTTTGGGTAATTAATTGTTAGACAATACTTATGCAGGATATGGGTTTTCAAACAATAAATAGTTATCAATAATTTGTAATAATTCAGCAGGTTGAGGAATCCTTCCAGTTTCCAATTTCGACCAAACGGGAATATCTGTAAAATAATAAATCAATAACATATAGTATTCCAACAAGATAATATGCTTTACATGCTTACCATTAAAATACAACTCAAATGCACCGGTTGAAATAAGCATTCCTTCAAACATATTTGAGCCAAAAAATACCACAAGACAAGCATAGATTTTATTAGATGTACACCAGATCCACCAGTTTGGTTGTTGCTTGCCAATATATTCGAATAAGTTGATTCCAGATCCAATGGCAATTATAATCACCATTTTTGCTAGGCTCTAGAGTAAAATGATAATTATTTAATCAAAATTATTCTTGTTTTATAAAAATATACATACCAATACTTTGGCTGCTAGTAAGTGTGCCATGGAAGGGTCATAATTTGCTCCTTCGATGTGTAGATGAGGGTATTTTTCACTAAGAATACTTGAGTATTGATCAAATGCTTTTTGATATCCACAAGAATAACTAAAAAATAATAATAGTAAAATAATACAATACTATAAGATACTAAAATAATATAGGTATAACATTATATTGTTTTAAATATTTAAAAATAAATTATAGAAACTTGAAGTTTGAAAAAACTGCTATAGGTACATTAAAAATCAATATTTACTTATAAGTTATAACTCTAATAATCTAATATGTAAGAATGAAACAGTTTAGCCAAGGTATATCAATGTACAGCAACAAACCCCATGACATTAATTTTTTAAATTAAACAGATATCAGACTAAAGTGTGGAAAACAATAGGAACAACCAACTTTTCAAATGAACATAAATTAAATACGTAATTTAAAGGATAAACATCACAATGAACTAAGGAAGGACCTACCTACAAAATAAGTGAACATTTACAAAATAATAACTGTTTTCCCATGTTTTGTTTTGCTTAAACTTGGCTAAGTATATTTTTAATCAATATCTCAAGTTTGGCATTACAAACCAGTGGCGCAGCCAGAAGGGTTGGACTCCAGGTCCGGACCGCCCCCCCCCCAATGGATAATGATACTTTTGGTTTTAATGGAATTTTTAGATTCTGAGGGTAGAAAATTAATGAAATATATTTACAATGATGTGAGTTTTTTTTCTGTTTGTAGACAACATTTGGGGTAAAAATATGATACGATTTTTGACATCAGCATATTTTCTGATAGGAATGTACATCTAGTTAATACTTTTGGTAGGTCTAAATTCCAAGTAATTTTAGAAAGCGTCAGGAAAAACAAAAACTGAGGTTAAATTTAGTGTAAACCAATTTTTGAAAATATTGATTTTATTTTTTTGGTGTAACTCAAAAACTAATAATCGTAGACACTTGAAATTTTTTACCAAATCATTTTTATTAGCCTTTTTTTTACACGGAAAAAATTTTAAAATTTATTTTGATGAGCACTTCTCTACAAGGTAAAAAAGCTTGGAAATGTAATGCAATAATTTAGTTTCAATAATTGAAGTTCCAAAATATTAAAGATAGATACATAGGCATGGCCATTTTTATGTATGCATTTAGAGTTAAAAATGTTGACAAAGTTTATCAAAATCCCGAAAAATGTTCAAATAATTTTTCAGTTATAAATTCTTAAAAGTTTTTATGTTTATAGCAAACATTAGAAATTTGAATAGAAGATTCCCCACAAATTTTTCTACTTTTAACAAAAAAAAGTTTACTGGAAGGTCACGCTATTTATAGCCAAGAGATATTTTCAATTTGTATTCATTTTTTTTTAATTATTAGATTTGATGATTCAACAATTATGCTAGGATAACATAACGTCTCCTCTAAGAATCGTTTTTTGTATGTAATGGTTTATTGTTGAATTCAAATATAACACATCCATTACAGCAGTATTTCTCAAACTGGGAGCCACGACTATATGACTGGTGGGCCTTGAAATATTTATTTCACTTAAAATATTTTTGGCTATTTAGTTATTAAATATCCGATCATATGTTATATAATTGTTATTACATTAGGAACATTTATCTCATATCTCAATTATGAATGACATAGTATCAATAGAACATTTTGGGAAAAATCGGGTTCTTAATTCGCGATTTTTTAAGATTATATGTGAAGAGTTCCAACTATACTACACTACTATTCCATACTGATGTTTCATGGCTATGCCTTGGTAAAGTTTTGAAAAGGGTTATAGAACTACGTGGTGAACTCCGTATATTTCTCTGTGATATTTTTCAAATTTAAATTAAAATAATGAACACAATTGGACTAAAATACCATTTTCTATTTCTTTGAAATATGATCATGTTCCATGGGCTGCTAAAGAGCAATTAATTGAAATTAGAGAAGATTTAACTCTTGAAACCGAATTTTGGTTAAGACGACAGCAAGAGTATTTCAAAAGTGGCTTTACTTATTTTAATCCTTTGGCGCTGCATATCTTTGTGAAACTGCATTTTCACAAATGTTTGGAAGCAAACTTGAGTATTTCAGTTACAAATATCACACCGGACACAAATATGTTATGCAAAATTAATGAAACCCCCTCGTCACATAAATAATCATTAACATTATTACCAGGCACCTATACAGGGGGGAGGGGTGTTCAACCCCCCCGAAAATTAATAATTGTGTTATTAATTTATATCAATCATAGATAACTACAAAAACTGGTCGGTGACAATTTGCTTATGGACCTCCCCGAAATTTTTTTTGTGTACGTGCCTGATTATTACTGAATATTTTTGAATTGTTTTATGGTTATTAGTTAATATAATAATAACTTATTACCAATTCATACTTAAATTTTTTTTCATACATTTTTTTGTTTGCATATTTCTCGAGATATATTTAAAGTTTAATACTATTATAAGATTGTTTCAAAAATATATTAAAAAACATTCATTTACCATAAACTTTAATAATTTATCTGTGTGAAATAATGCATGTAATTTTAGTATTTAATTAAGAAAAAACAGTTAATGATTTTGATTTAGAGGGCCTTGACAATTTTACATTAAATGTATGGGGGCCCAAGACAAAAGTTTGAGAAGCACTGCATTACAGTGACAAACTCAACAAGTACTGTACAACAGAATTGTACAGAAAAGCAGTAGTTAAACAAATTTTTTTAGACCCCCCCCCCACCCTTGAATAAATTCTGGTTGCACCACTGTTATAAATACTTAAAATACGATGTTGTTAAATAATTATAAGTGTACTTAAGCGTGGCGCGTGTACAGTACTACTCACACAATGATTAGGTTAGACATCTAAAAGGCATCATAACGAGAGAAGAAATGCAAAAGAGGTCCCTAAACCCAAGTTCACGATAAACCAAGATAAAATAAAGAAATGAAAGAAAATGTAAAGCCAAGGGAAAATCATTCAACTTAGATAAAAGGCGAAACGGTTTCCACACTCACCAGTACAGGAACTTGAGCGTCTGTTGGCCTTCGATCGGTCCTTTGCCACTGCCGAGGTGAACGCTTTTGGATGGATTTCCGGCGCCACTGTCGGACGACACGGACGTCGAACCGAACAACGCGAAACAGCAGACGGCTACCGCGAATGCGGTACTGAAAGCGGCCATGCTGGTCGGCTAGAACACGGGACGAACAGTGGAACCACGGGACGTCGACTTGCTAGGAAGTAATAACGGGACGGACTGCCGAGCGCGGAGGGGTACGCCACTCCCGCGAGGTAGACGACTGAGAGCGGTCGAGCGCGCGCGCGCCAGTCGGTTCAGGGTTTTCGGCGAGCCTGATCCAAAACCGCTGTTGTTATTGATACCGTTCGACGAGATCGCGAGAATGGAAGGCGCACTGTCACTGCAGCTGTATGACTAGACTAAATTATTATACGAAGCGATTTGACAGCGTAACGGACTACAACGTCGCATCAGGGTCTCGAACGACGGCCGACGACTATTACGACAGAAGAATACTGTTATTGAGTATTATGCAATAATAAATAGTATTAAATAATAGTAATAATAAATAATCTTTCTGAACATTATCGTGTGTCTGCGGCGACTTTGTGATACTGGCGGTAGACTGCCCACTCATACCGACGCCGCGCCCAATGAAAGTGCGTCGTTAAGCAACATAGATAATATGTATGATACCAAGTACGCGGTATATTGTATACCTGTAAATTATCACGACTGGGTATCCGTATTTTATCATATTACGGCAACTAAGGACTGATAGCACGACTGTTGCTAACAGATATTAAAACCGGCGCCCGGCACGACTGATTTCGAATTTTCGACACTCGAATACTCGATAGTCAGTCGTCATGACGGAATTATTTTATTAAACGATCGAATTTCGAATTGTTATTAATTACTGCATGGGTATCTACGTTAAGTATTGAGTTATAATAATAGTCAATGCAGTTTCTATTTACCTTAACGGCTTAACAACATTTTTTCATGCATGTTCCAAAATATCGAAGTACTCTACTATACACCGCTCGGCAAACCGCAGATCATAATCTATTGAGTTATACATGATTGTATTATTTTTCATTTTGTCGACTAGTTCACTTTTAATCATAAATCTGTGATCTCAGTACAATTTTCCTAATAGCTATTTTCATTTTAATGATGTACGTAAAGTTTATGATCTAATCACAGACTTATACATAAGAATTATGATGCACCTAAGTACGTTTATAAGTCTATCAATCTACAATATGCAGTATTTAGGATTTTGTTGCTCCGGGTACATGTTTTTTTAATGCCCCTTCCCTCACCATTTTTTTTTTATACAGTGGAATATATCTCAACCATAAAAAAACGTGCAAGACATACACACTATTAGTTGCCCCCAAAAATGTGCTTCCCAGGTTTATAGGTAGTCATATAATAATGTTCTGAGCATGAATTTTAAATCTTATTTAATAACCTTTTGACTTACGTAGTGGGTTTGAAAGTACAAGTTCACCATTAAATTCATCCTGCAATTGTTTTCTTCAAACCTGATCAAAAATTTGTAATTTAATCGTGTCGTATTATTGCCCATTATTCTTTTAGTTTTTGGTCAAATAATGTTGAGGCACCATTAACTTTAATATAATTTTTGTTCTAGACTTATTTCTACAATGACTTTATGTTTGACTGTAAGAACCAGCATTGGTTTCACAAAGATTTATAGTTTACATAAAAAATGTATGACCTAACAAGTATACAATATTGAATATATTATAGTGTGAATACAAATAAACAAACATAAAAATTATCAATTTCCTTAATTTTTTAAATATTATGTTTAATTACATATGGATAATATCATATGTAGAATTTAGCAAAGCAGAATTTAGTACAAAAATGTTAACCTGTCAAAACTGCCTTGTTTAAATTTAATAGTATGTATAATTTTTCAAATATGAATAGGTACAAAAAATACAAATAACTTTTCACAACATATTAAACATGAAAAATATATTTAATTTACATTAAACTTATATTGAATATTTAAAATACAGATATTTTATGAAACAAAAATTGTTTTTGCCCATGTTTTTTCAAAACCTATAGCAAATGGAACGATTAAACTTTGTAAATCTGTTATTATACAACTCTCCCAGTTGCCATAAGTAGCTTGATGTGTCCAATTCATGGAACCTTGAATCAACCATGTAGAGTCAATGATAGCAAATTTATTATGCATGTAACTAGAATTAAAGTCTTTTTGGTATTTTAGTTTGATACCAGTTTTTTTAAGGACTTTAATTTCTTTTGATTCAAATAAAATGCAATTACTAACTATAATCCTAACCAATACTCCTCGTTTATGGGCATCAATAATCTCCTTCGCAATGGGCTTATTCGATATTGCAAACATACAAATATCCATTGTTTTTCTTGCTTTTTGTAAACACAAAATAATTTCTCTGGTTTTAAAGCTTGAACAATTCGGAGATACACAATGTATATCAAACGAGTATAGACAATTGCAATTTGGTTTGGTATTAGGATTATAGAAGAGTACTTTGGTACAGTTCTTAGTTCTTTTCTTTCCATAATGTAGCCATATTAATGTTAATGCAGAACTAATACTTGATATACATAACCATTCGATCAACGTATTTGACATGTAACTAAAAAAAAATCAAATAAATGTTTATAGTAAGAATGTTCCCATCACAGATTAATGTATTAAAAACTCTATCTTATAATATAAGAGTAACCTAAGGTGGCGACTGATATTTTTATATTACAAATAGACTACACCTCAATAAATTAGTTTTTGTGAACTTTCGTCCTCACTTTTCATTTCTGAACATTGGTCATAACCATATAGTTGCTGTACCTTGTAAATCTTTGAAAAATAGTCAGCTATTGGAATATTAAAGCAAAGCTTTCCATAGCATGGCACTAGGAACTTGTAAGTCACCACCGTGCACAGAAGCTATCAGTTCGAAGTTAATCTTATGTAGTTATATAGTACAGAGTTTATAGTATATAAATTAAAAAAGTATGTACATGGTATGGCAAACTATTGATTTATAAATTACCCTAGTAATACCATAAGACATGTGGTTACTATTTTATAAAGAGGGTATTTTACTTTTGGTCATGCACCAAAGATCTTAACATACTAGAACAGAACTGCACATAACAACAGCATTACGAGCGGTGTAAAAACATCTGCGATGTGGGCGGTTTTGACAAATAAATACAGTAGTGTAACTTTTTTTGACGTCAAAACACAAAACTGTGTATACCTGTTTATCTTAATCTACTACCATACATATTGAGTAAACAAAAAGCGCCCTCTTTGTTATTAGTTGTTACTAATGTTACTCTTTCCATAAAAACTCATTGCTTGTCTAGTAGTATAAGGTTTATGTCAAAATATAATTATCAGTCTTCTCACAACCTACCTAATAAAATATAATAATATATACATCTGAATACACAATATTGGTTTTTTACAATTTTAAATGTATTACATTAATAATTAAATGTATAATGTTTATTTTCTTCCTTATTCATATTATAGTAAAATTATCTAAAAATGCAAGTTTCTAATGTCTAAAATCCATGAAAAAAATCTAGGATTATCGTTACATGCATTAGTCTTAAATACTATTTTCAAATTTAACAAATAATTAATTATTTATTTTATCTAAATTTAGTTTTCCTAAAAATCCTGACATACATCAAGAATACCTGAACAATGTTGTGTCCAATAAAAAAATATGACCCTACATTTCAGCCTACATGTTATTGTTGCTGATGGATCAAACAGGAATTAGTGATTCTATAGAATTACCATGTCTATCAGTTATATCTGTCACAATTAAAATGGAAACACAGTTACCAAAATCAAGTAGAGCAAACTTTTTTATTAGTGAAATCATAGTCAGTCTATGAAGTATTAACATATTTTAATTTTTAAAAGGTATTAAATAAAAATTGTGATAAATAGTTTGTAAATGAGCTACTTATGTGGTAAAAGTAAATTTATTTTTAATTTGAAAACTGTGTTTATAATACAGGGTGCAGCATAAGTCGGTTCCCGCTGTTTTGTTATCGCAAAACTGCTTATTATTGTTATTAATTTATAATTAATTAATTTTTTTATAAATCTATATAAAATATACATATTTAATTTGCTGTGTTAATTGGGGAACCGACTTATGCCGCACCCTGTATAATAGTTATGTTTTTGCTATTTTCGTTACACCAATGAATAGTTATTAATTTTATAAAGAGTACACATTACATTGTGGATATGTCATCCCTCAATTTCAGCATATCTAAAAAGGTCAAAATTCATTTTTGTAAGGCAAAACTAAAAATAAATCATAATTTTAATTGTCCAACTTAAACTGTTTTGTTTCAATCATATATAACTATGAATTTTATTGATGTTTTAGATTCTATAAGCTCATGATTATATTTTGGTACTTTATACTTATATTAGATAATGTTTTAAAGTTGTTGGAACATACATTTAACATTAATTGTATTGATCAATAATTGTTTATTACCTAACCTATTTATTAATACTTTTAGAACAATACTTCTGAATATGAATAGACTCTTAATCATAGTTTGAAATCAAAACAATTTAAATACACACCAACAATTTGATTGTTTGGCATTGACTCAGCAATTTTATTCACCGAAGGCCTACAATTTTGTGACAAAATAATATTCAAAATATTGCACCATAATTGCACCCAGTCACACTTAGAAAATGGTTTTCAGTGGTTGATGGTGAATCTGGGTTTATATTTAAAGCTTTTGAAGCTATTAGAAGGAAAGTTAACGAAATACAAAAACCAATAATTTGTAATATTACTATTGATGAAATGACTATAAGAAACTAAAGCAAACAATTTTCTTCAATGGCAAATTCTATGGAGGTGTAGATTTGGGCACAAGTCAGAATCAAAATGATTCAAACAATGTACAACAAGCAATCAATGTATTTCTTGAGGTTTTTATGAATATTCACTGGAAAGTTTCTTTGGATTATTTTGTAGTAGTGGAATAGTATAGTTTAACTTGAAATGATAAAGCAAATTTACTCATTTAATGTTTTGAATTAATTGCTGATACAGGAGCCAAATTTTTTTTCAATAACATTTCATGGGACATGTAAAATCCCTGGAGTTAATTTTGATTATTTTTTCGAAAATGTTAAGCCTTGATTTTACAACTTAGCTTATACAGAAGTCAAAAAAGAAAAAATTTTTATGGGATGCATGTCACATGTTAAAATGACTAGAAAGTATAATAAAAAAATCTAAATGGAATTATTTAGTATGTATACAAAACATTCAAGGATTGCATATAGCTAATACATTTAGAAAACCATAATTATTATTATAAAAATTCAATGAATGTTAGACTACACAAACTAAGTCAGCGGTTCCCAACCTCAGGTAACAGAGGTTTTTAAGGTAAGTTGCAAAAGCATTACTTACATATAATTATATTACATTAATTTAATTTTCAAGAAAAAAATTCCCAAAATACTCTGATAACAAAATGTTTGAGAAAGAAAATAATTTTAAATAGGTTATATAAACGCCACGGGCTTTGAAGCATACTTATCATAGTTTTGATATAGTTACGTATATAAGTAAAAATGTAATTATTTAGGTATATGAGGACAACTAAATATGTATACATTTAAAAATTGTTGTTAATAAATGGAAGTTTTGTTTAAAATCATGTTTTTTTTCAGTTTAAATCCACAAATAATTGTTTTTCTACTGGTAAGTACAACTCAAAAAAGTAAGAAACCAAATATCCGTGGATTTAAAACCATTTTAATACAAATAATATATAATAAACAAAGAAATTAAAAATGAGTAAAAATGTTTTAGTTATATCTTTTAAAAATAAATTGGTTTGATGTTAAATAAAATTAATTGTAATATTTGTTATTATCATAATTCAATTGTACCTACCCCATTTTGTGGAACAAATCTAGAGATATGTAGAGCTGTCAGACATAGTTTAGAACATGCTCTCCGAAGACTGTAGCTTACGATATCAAAAAGAAAATCATGAAAGAAAAATCCTGAAGAAAAAAATGTTAATTACTCAGTTTATTTTATAAGATTTAAAATAAAGTAATAACAATGTAAGTACTGGTAATGCCTGTGAGGATTTAAAGCAGCATTTTCAGTAAACAGTAAACCATGAATCAGGAATTCGACATCTTAGACATATACTATTTTAAATTAAAGAACACTGTTGTAACCCAAGTAATATTATTCAAAATTAAATGTCACAGACGACCGGGCACGGTAAAAAACGGTTGATATCACAAAAACCGTGGCTTAGATATCGGTTTTTATCACAGATATAACAATATCTTTTATTTTATTATCTACAATAAATGTATTTATGTATTTATAAATGTAGTTCATGACAAAAACAGATAAACGAAAGAAAAGACACAGACAGTATGACAGTAGTGTATACGTTCGATTACGATATATTATGTCTATGGATATACGTACACGATGTTCATGAAGAAAAATTCGATACGTACCTTCTCGTATCAAAATCTGAGTCTGATATGGGTCGGTACGTATCGCCTGTAATGTCTTGAACGCTCCAAATTGTCCTGTCTATATACTCTAATTTCTTCCTTGAAAATTTTGAATCCATCAATACATCATCACTGGCCGCTACATTTCGATTTATTTGAATAACAACACTTTTGTTTTGTATAGCAATTTATATTATGATATATAATGTACAGTGTTGAATAATATTTCTATTTCAGGCTTATTTATCCTATTATTCTGTTCTATCTAAGCATTTGCCTAACTGTCTTCCTATATATTATATATATACATAAATATAGCCGTTGGTAGGTTACTCGAGGTTGTAGGTAAATGGCTTATCCATATCCAATATATTATTCTGAATACCCGAATAAATTTTTTTAACATAGGTTGGTTTAGTTGGTTTTTAACACTATGGTTCAGTTGTCATTGTAAATTGTAATATACCTTTATACCTTATTCCACTTTGTTACATTCATATCAGGTACTTATCTCAGATAAAGTATCTGACTAATGAAGCCTAGTGTCAAATATTAAATTAATACATTGCATAAACAATATGCAGGAGCGCAGACACACAGTATGTAACGGGAATAGCTGATAAATTAAAAAACTTGTTCTAATCAATATTTTTATTTATTTTATTGATTTATTGACTCTTGCTCTACAACAACCTACACATATATATATATTTCATAGTCTAATAAAAACAAGCCATGCAATATAACATTTTTTATTTTTATTTTTTAATAATGAAAAAACTTATAAATTTGATTTAATTAGCAAATTCAGTAAATTTGTAAATCTGGTTTTAAGAAAAATGTAAATTGCAGGAACATTTATTCAGTATGTCTGTGAATGGATTTATTTTTTATGACTTTGGATATTTAGGTACACTTAAAATAACCTAAATAACGATATTTCTCTTTAAATTTCATATAACTAAATAACTTTTAGTTAAAAATCATTTAATTTTTTTTAAACAAAGGTTTGAAATTTGAATACAGGTTTCCTCACAGATCATAAAATGTTCACTAGTTCATATGCAAAATATAAAACTTTGAAAAAACAGTCATAATATTTTTATAATATAGGTACCAGTTTGAAGTTAAAATTCATAATACATATTTTGAATATTTAACTATACCTACAATTTGAAAATTTAATTCAAGGTTCCCCCAATAAGTTGTCATTATTGAAATTAAAAATGAAGTTGAGTGTAATTTCACAAATATTATATTTTATTAGCTCCAGCTTCTGAATTTTAAAATTTAATCAAATTGGCTAATTACTTGTAAAATAACAATCTTTAAAAAAAAAACTTTAACCAACAGTTGTGGAGGATCGTGCGTACATTACTATTACACTATTCTATTGTTGATAGAAAATATTACAAATATTGATAAACATATAAATTTAAATTATTGATAATGTTAACAAACACAAGTAATAATAGGTATTTCATCAAACTTTCTTCTTATTTTGTTGTAATTCAAAAGCTATGTAACAGTATAGATACTTGCAAATGAACGTATGGTATACATTTCAAATTATTTTGACTCTGATTTATTTTTTAGACATTTAGCTTTTATTTTTTCTATAAATAAAATTAAAAAACATTTACCCTCAATTCAAAATCTTGAAAATATAAATCCAGGCTGGCAAGTTTCTCATAAGTTCTTATTATAGCCATTTAAAAGTAATAAAATTAAATAGGAACTATAAGCATTTGAAGTTTAAATGTTGACAAAATTCATTACAATTACAAAAATATTAAAATTGTTTTGAAGTTAAAAATGTATTGTGTTTTTCTTTTGATTCCAACTGTTAAAATTGTTGTTAAGGAAGTGGAGATGTATAAGTTTGAACATTATTTTTTCTCAAACTTTGAACAATTTGATTTCTATAAGTTAATATATCCTTAATTGTAAAAATAAAAACACAATTACAATGGTAAAATTAACTATGAAGATTAAAATTTAAAGAGTCATTGTTATTAATCATCAGTGTATCGGGTTCATTTCAATAGGGCTAGTTCAATTTTGTGGTCATTAGTTATTCATTATGACTTGTAGGGTTGGAGTAAAATTGTATAAATATATATGTATCTATAAATTCAATACTGGTAATTGACAATTGTATTGGATTTCCCCTCCTAGGTTACACAAAGTAATTTTTTTTAACAAGTTATATTTTGCACAGAACCAAACATAATAATAGTAATTGCTTGTTTTTCATTGCAGTATTATATAAATAACATGACACACAATAAACAAAAATGTGATAATCCAATTTTAATAAATTAAATACTGTGTTAAACATTTATATATGGTTTGCTTAAAATTTTAAATTTAATGAAGATATAATTAACAACAATATAGAATTGGTTGAGGGTAGTAAAGAAAATATCTATTGATTTGGTTTTGTAAAAATAAATATACAAGCACTTTTTCTTTCATTTACTCTCGATATTATAAAAATAATTTCAATTAATATTCTAAATTTTCAACAAATTTTTTTTTATAGAATATATTTACTTAACATAGTAAAAAAAAATATATATATAATATTAATAATAATAATAATAATGATAATGTGTTAAACGCGTATTCCTGAGGGTCCATAATTAATACTATTCATTCGAGTTGCCCTCACAAAATTTAACACTAATACCCTACAAAACATTTTAGGATCTGAATTAAACAAATTTATGACACATCAATCATACAACAGTTCAAATAATAAACAAAAAAAAAATAATAATAATAATAATAATAATAACTAGTATTTAAAAACTCACGGTATAACACATAAATGAAAAAAGAAAATTAAACAAAATTGATAATAATAATCATAAAAAAAACTAATTAGAAAGATGAACTTTTGTTTATTGTCTGATCAAACTGATTGGCTAGGACGTTTATGAGAATACTATAACGAAATAATAACGTGAAAAAAAATATGTTCAGCCGTAATCAATGTTTGTCCCTGTAAAATATATAAACATTTTCAAAAGTATTTACAAAATAAATAAATAGTTGAATTTATAATGAAACACTACCTAATCATATGATCTAGCATGTTGGATATCCTCTGTTCTGATAGTGATGGTAATAGTTTATGTATCATTTCCCGGAGAAACTGATCACTTATGCCCGGGCTTGCGCGTTCAGCCAACTCGAAAGAGTTTTTCAACTCTTCAATAGCATCAATCTTATAGGACACATCATTTTTATACCGATATCTCTTTTGTAACTGTAAGTCAAATGAAATAAAATTATGAACACACAAAAGACAAAACTAAAGTAAGAAATATGAAAAATTGTTAGGTTTGGTAAAGAAAATGTTTTTTAAGCATATTTTATGCAACGTCAGTACGTCACTTTAAATGTTAATCCGTATAATGCAATTTACATACACTTGTAACTTACCTCAGATATTAAAGGGAATATTAAAAGGGAAAGACACGGTGACCAGCATGAGTTGTTATGGTTTTGGCTTGTTTTTGGATGGACAGGTTGTTTCTTATTATCTGTATGTTCCGACATGCGAGTAACACTGCGTTTTGTTTCGATTTCTTTGGAACTACGTTTGTCTGAATTTTTGGATCCATGAATATGAGTGACAATCAACTATTTTCACAAACAATCCAGAATTACATGTCCAATTAATCATTTTTGTAAAAAGAGTAACCAAAAATGCTTAAATTGTGAAATAATAAATTTGAAAGGCATTTGAAACAGTTGAGTAAATGAAAAAGTTAACGGTGTAAAACAATTATTAATTACATTTGATTCAACAACATTAGATTTGTTATTGGATGATTTTTTAGATGGTTGTAATGATCCATTCTGTTGGGTTTTCTTGGACAGCAATTGAGATGGCAAAGAAGAACTTGATTCAGGAGTGGAGTTTAGTAAAGGCTTTAAAGAATTGGGTCCTCTAACAGTCATAATCCATGGTTCATCTAAATCACTGTCATTTTTACCAGAATCTTCCCTAAAATCAAAAGAAGGAAAATGTATTAATATTTTATTATTTATATAGCTGTAAATTAATCCATTAGCAATATTAAAAATATTTTTTATAATTACACATCTGAACTTTCTGATTCTGTCTCGCTCTCTTCATTACGCTGAGATTTCCATTTTTTGTAACGATCAATGAGATCCACCAAGTATGAACTTTTTTTAGCTTTTCTGATGAATGGAAATTTCAAAAGTTCTTTAGCAGTTGGTCTCTAAAATACATACAATCATTTTGTATAAAAAATACTAAAGTAAATCATAGCAGTGATAAAAGTACTTACGTTTTCGGGATCTTTATTTAAACATGCCTCCACAAATTCTTTAAACTGTTTAGTATAGTTTCCTGTCAATTGAGGAGGATTATTTTTTGGAATCAAAAATAATACCCTCATCGGATGTAGTTCAGAATTGGGTGGTTCACCTTTGGCCAACTCTATAGCTGTTATTCCTAATGACCAAATGTCTGCCTATAAAATCAATATCATATTTAGTCTTTTGTCTCGAAATGTAACACTTTAAAAAAACTAATAAACCTTAGAATCATAAGCAGATTGTTTAATAACTTCAGGAGCCATCCAAAATGGTGTACCAACAAATGTATTCCGTTTACTAGTTGTATTTGTCAATTGACCGGCAACCCCAAAATCAGCTAATTTTACATCACCAATTTCACTTAACAGAACATTTGCCGCTGTACAACAGAATAATAAATAGTAAAAAAATAATTTTTTTTCTGATGTTAATAAATTATAGTTACCTTTAATATCTCTGTGTAATTTCCGTTCACAATGTAAATAATCAAGTCCTTTCAAAACTTCTCTAAGTATAATGGCAATATGCATTTCTTCAAAATTACCAGCTTTCATTAAATCAAGAGCTGACCCACCACCAAGATATTCCATAATAATCCATAGCTTAGTGCCCTAAAGTATTGTAACAAAATTTTTTTAGTTTTTACTACTTTTTTTTTACTATTTTTACTTTTTACTATTTAAAGGTGTTCAAAATTACTTTTAAATAGGAACCAAAATATTTGGTGACAAATGGACTGTCACACTGTGATAAAACCATAATTTCTTGTTGGATGTCTTCAATTTCATCTTCAGCCTCTTCCAGATCAATTATTTTAATGGCCACAATTTGTTGTGTTCGGTTGTCTATCCCTTTGAAAACTTCACCAAATGAGCCTTTACCAATACGTTCTTGCTTGGTAAATATGAGCTCTGGATCGACTTTCTGTAAGTAGAACATTAAATAACATTAAAAATACAATTATTAAAATATTATGAATTCATAAGGTCAAATAATGTCTACAGTCATACAACTGATGATTTTTATTTTTGATAACACTCAAAT